TATAATATCATTACTACCCCTGCGCTGGACAGTTAGGGATGGTTGATAACGAGATCCCATACGAGTCGGACTGCTATACGGCTGCCTATGCCGGACAGAGAGAGAGAGAGAGAGAGAGAGCTTACTTCAGGGTATGACATATTGTGTTTGAAGCCCCGGGACGGTGACTGTCCCAATCCATATATAAAATCATTTGGCAAAAGTGTGGTAATTTCAATAAGTCCTTCGCTGTATATGAATGGAGTGAAGTCTCCCGTATTGAATATAATATCATTACTACCCCTGCGCTGGACAGTTAGCATAAAGCAATTCTTGCATTTGGCGTCCTTTGACAATGAAGTTAATGTTACTTTTCCATCACATTTACTACTGTCAGTTATATTAGATGTTATATTATGGAAATCACGTCTAATTAAACTATCATCACTCTCTAAATTAAAGTGTATGAATGCATTTATAAATGTTTTGTATTAAGATTTTGATTGAAATATAATTTTGATATTTATGTGGTTATGAAAAATGCAGTCTTATTACCATTTGCAGGTTTAATACTGATTGTCAAATACGATTGAGTGATGTAATCAACCCTGAGGTCAAGTGTATCCTTGAGAAGTGGTCCCCAATTGTGTTCAGTCTTATTCTGTCGTATATAATGAGGAATTGATTCCTTCTCCACCACCAGTGTTGCCGTCACTGAAGTTTGGGATGGGTTTTGGTGATCCACTTTATAGCTCGGCATCTCATTGTTGTCCTCTTTGGCCATCAGTCCGTAATAGCACTCAATCTGTCCCTCTTTGGCGTCTTTATCCCAACAACAATTCGTGCAATTCTTACATTTCTTCATAATCTCCTCTTTTTTAATATCAGGACTTATGGGGAAACAGTTGTATCTAATAAAACATACAGTATTTTAACCATTAAATCCGGAATTAAATTCTCTCTCTCTCTCTCTCTCTCTCTCCAATTCTAACTGATAATATGGTTGTGTTGATAGGATTGGGGCATATTTAGTAAATTCAACAAAAACATGACTTTGCATGAGTCGAGTTGGTTTGGATCACATCCATTATATATGGGATGGACTAATGATAACAAGGCTTATGGAGTACTTCTGGAGAATACATATCCCATGCAATTGGTCACTAATAGTCGACCGAGTCTTACGTTCAGAACAATTGGCGGACAACTCAAGTTTGTATGTATTGATCGCATTATCAATATAAAAANTGGAGAATACATATCCCATGCAATTGGTCACTAATAGTCGACCGAGTCTTACGTTCAGAACAATTGGCGGACAACTCAAGTTTGTATGTATTGATCGCATTATCAATATAAAAAATCTCAAATCTCTATGGTCACATAATATGAATATGATACAGCTTACTAATCTCCATAATTAATTAATATAAAACCAAAAAATCTCAAAGTAGTCAAACTTTTAATAAATTAAAGTTGTGTTTTAATCATATGTATGATGTGTTGAAAAGCACTTCTTCTTAGGCCCCACACCGAGGGATGTCTACCAACAGATAACAGCTGTGGTCGGACAGCCAACTCTACCGCCATACTGGGCGCTCGGCTTTCATATGTGTCGCACAGAAACCGATGACACGAAGGGAACGAATGCTAGGTTAGGGATGTTTGATAACGAGATCCCATACGAGTCGGACTGCTATACGGCTGCCTATGCCGGACAGAACTCCAGATACGGCGAACTGGTGGGCCAAATGTTACGCGACAATAAGGAGGGCTCAAACCGCTTGAGGTCACTTCTGGTTCAGGCGCCCCATCGCGAGCACGTAAAGGAGACCACCACTCCCTCCCCGTCTCCCTCTCCGTTAGATATATGGCTCCTCCAAAATTCACTAACCAATGCCAGTGACCACAAACTATATATCGGCAAATTTTATGACTGGTTATCTTCTGGTATATAATTATATAACTTTTATCAATTACATTGTTTGCAAACATAAATTGATTACAAATCCGGCAAATAAGTTAATACTTAATTTCTATAATTAATGCTATGTGTCAAAGAGGAGGATCCCTATATACCGGTCATATATCCGAGCTATGCGTCACCAGATAAGGATGAATTATTTAAAGCGATGACCGATGAATTCAAAACAATTGGTAAGTTTGATGAGAAAACAGAAGACCCCATAATTGATGGCATATTTGTCGACTACAACACACCTCTGGATCTCCGATTGTCCGATACGTCTGATGTGAAGGAAACTTGTAAACCACTTCTCGATAATAACCCCTGGAATACACTTTTCTACCAACAACTCAATGAATACACGCCATGCCTTGATTTGATTTATCCCGACACCAAAGTGTCGCATATGTCTGCACACAATCTTTATGGTCACCAACACATGAAAAAAGTTTGAATTTTATTTTGTTAAAGATATTTGAAAATTCAATACAATTTAAATGAATACATGAAATAATTGTCACTTGTATTGGTAGACTCGGGATGCATTGAAAAACTACACAAACTATAAAACTACTAATAGACGTACTCTGACTATGAGTTTATCCACATTTGCGGGCAGTGGACAATTTGGAGGGCATATCGGCACAAACATGGTGTCCAGTTGGCCAATGCTGGTCCAAACAATATACCAGACACTGGAGTTCAATTTATATGGCATTCCACTCGCAGGCTTTCCCGTCTGTGGCTTCAAAGACCTAAGTAATCACTCTAAAGTTTCGTTTCCTAAGAGTTTTACAAAAACATTGTCTTATGATTAGGCGATACAATCGATGATGAGTTATGTATTCGTTGGTATCAATTGGCAGCAATGCAGCCCTTCATGATATCGCACCGGGATTATGGCGAGGACCTCACTGATCCCATATCACTGTTTGGAAATGATAAGAAACTAGAGGGAAAATTAGAGACAATCAAAAGTGCAATTGTTATCAGATATAGACTACTGCCATATCTCTATACACTATTCTATAAGGCGTCCAAAAGGGTCAGTCCCGATGATAAGATGAAAGGTATGGGTGAGCCTGTAGTTCGTCCCCTTTTCTATGAGTTCGAAAATGACACCAAAACCTGGACACTCGACAAACAGTTTATGTGGGGCTCAGCCCTTATGGTGTCTCCCGTGACAGAAGCGAACGCCAAGAATGTGAAGGCATACTTCCCCAAAAGCATTTGGTATTCAATTCACAATTTAATCAAAATTATCCGAAAACTCATTTTATTTTGTATGAAATCAATGAATATAAGGTATGACTACTCAAGCGGCCGAAGAATCTCCTCGAAGGGACAAATGGAAAGCCTGTCGGCCGTCGAGAGTAATATAAATCTTCACATCAGAGGCGGATATGTTATTCCCACGCAACCGGAGACCAATAATACGGATCAGTCGCGACGTAATCCCTTCACAATCATTGCGGCACTCAATCAGAATTTTACGGCTGAAGGGGATCTGTTCATCGATGACGGCATTACTGACAACTTGACCACACTCATTGTCCACATTTCAGTGGTTGTCACCGAAAAGGAGAAGGACAGCCATACGAGCGGTGGTAAGACAGCCGGTGGCGCCATCAACATCACCACCACCCCCACGGGCAACAAACCCCCTAATGTGAGCACTCAAGTGGAGATTATTAAGGTGTTCGGTGTGATCGACCCCTTGGATCCGCCAGTGTTTCACATCAATGGCAAAGAGGAACCCGAAACGGATTTCACTTATGATTCAAATTTAGGTGTTTTGTCGCTCAAGAATCTGACGGAATTCATTGACTTATCTAAGAACAAACAGTACTCCATCACCTGGACAACTAAGACTTTTGCCGAGAGGTAGGCATTATAGGACTGGCGTACAGATATAGTCTACTTACAGTTATATTGGGATGTGCTTGAGTTCAGTTGTATAAATGTGACAAAACTTATGAAAATAGTATAGAAAATATTATTTAATAAATATAACCATATGAAATACTTTCAATATTAGTATAAATCAAATTATATACACAAAAGTCATTTAATATAATGTAAATGTCATTCAAAGGCAATTGCTTTCATTGATTGTAAATATAATTCAAAAATAAATGCAATTATTATTAAAAATGAGCACAAATTGAGACCTCAATTGACACTCGCTTTCAGTGGAGCCGTGTTGTGGTATATATAACGTAACACTTGAGCACAGAATTTGCAAATTATTCTGACATTCCATCCGTTTTTAGTAGTATTTTGGGTTCAATTGAATCCATTGAAAGAGACTTTATTTTTTTAATGACAAAAAATGAAA